CGGAAGTGGTGCTGTAGCTCAAGTGGTAGAGTGCTCGCCTTGAGCTGAAGAGCTGAGGGACAGTGCCCAGGCCCAGAGTTCAAGCCCCACTACCGACAAAAAAAAAAAAGTATCCAGAAACATAAGAACAGGAAGAAATGTATAAATAATTTGATTATATATTTGATATGGTCAGACAATTTTTTTTTTGTCAGTCAGGGGGCCTGAACTCTGGGCCTGGGCACTGTCCCTCAGCTCTTCAGCTCTACCACTTGAGCCACAGTGCCAGCCTTTTCTGCTTATGTGGTGCTGTGGAATAGAAACCTGGGTCTCATGCAAGGCAAGCACTCTACCATTGAGTCACCTTCCCAGCCCAAGGAAAAAATTTTAAGCATGGTGGCTTATGCCTGTAATCTTGGCTACTTGGGAGGTTCATAGTTGAAGGTCAGCCCAGGCAAAAAAGTTTATGAGACCCAGTAGAAAGCTGAGCATGATGACATGCTCTTGTCATCCCAGCTGCATGGAAATTATAAATAGGAGGATAACAATCCAAGATGGCTTGGGGCATGAACCTGGGATTGTTTGAAAAATAACAAAAACAGCTACAGTGGTTGCCTATTATTTCTAGTCTTTAACATGATAAAAAAAACTTTAAAAAAAAAAAAAGGAAGACTGGAGAGTAATTGAATCCAGTGTCTTCCCCCTACTGCTGCATCCTGGGAAGTAGCTGTCCAGCTGGTCATTTGTCTTCCTTAATGCTTCCAATGTTCAGAAACTACTTTTCTTAGGATCACTGGCTGTTTGCGAAAGGATGGCTCAGTGGTGTTGAGCTAGAAGCTACCTTTCTGGACCATCCTGGAATATGCATATCCAGTCTGTACTTGAAAATCTGAGATTTCCTATATACGTGTTTATTTTATGTAAACAACTAGCTTTTGCTTACATTTTAAATATAGTTGAAATTAGAGTTCTGATTTGGTCTGTGTCATAGTTAGCCAAGACGATGGTCAAATTAAAACAAAAACAGTAAAGGGCTAGGGATGTAATTTAATGGTGGAATGATTGCTTTGTCTACATGAGACCCAAGGTTCAATCCCCAATACCACAAAACAAACAAAAAGCCCCAAACCAAAGCAAAGTGAATCTGTGGTTGAGGCACTGACCAGGCAGAATGATAGTCACAGTCTGGTCCACAAGTTGGCCCTCTACCCCAGATACCATGAGGAAAAAGTGGAAATAACTCATTTAAGTTAGTAGTGGTTTGCTTTATTGCCATTTATCTCTGTGTGGCTAAGTAGACTTAGGGTTTATCAAATGATTCTTATGAATAAACCACAGACTGAAGATAATATAATAAAGCAAGTACAGGGAAAACAATAATACTCTTTCCTAATCTGCTAATCTGCCCTGCCAAAGAGAAGCTGTCATTTTAACAAGGAGTGTGAAAGGGACTCATTTATGGAGAAAATATCTTGAAAATGAACAGGGGATGTTTTTGCCATTGTATAATTGGTAAAATTTGAAGTGGTACCTCATTGGGCATACCTTGAAAGGGTGTGCTCATTTTCACACAGTAATTGGAAGTGTCTCACTCATTAAATAATGTGACTTAGTGGTAGACAGCTTGCCTAGCATGCATGAAGCCCTGGGTTCCATTCCTCAGTACCAAATAAATAGAAAAAGCCAGAAGTGGCACTGCGTCTGAAGTGGTAGAGTACCAGCCTTGAGCCAAAGAAGCTCAGGGCCAGATGCAGGTGGCTCACGCCTATAATCCCAGCTACTCGGAGGCTGAGATCTGAGGATCATGTTTCAAAGCCAGCTAGAGCAGAGAGACTCTTATCTCCAATTAACCATCAGAAAACCAGAAGTGGCACTGAGGCTTAAGTGGTAGAGCATTCATTCACCTTGACTTGAATAGCTCAGGAACAGCATCCAGGTCCCGAGTTCAAGCCCCATGAC